ACACACATACATATATATATATATATATATATATATATACACACACACACACATATGTATGTATGTATATAAAATGTTTTTAGAAAAAAAATTTAAATTTATAATAATAATAAAAAATAGAAAAAAAATAATTCTAGGCAGATATATCTGTGAGGAACATGCTAGATTTTAGTCATTATTTAAGTCTTTATTTAATTAAGTCATTACGTAAGTCTTTCCAAAAATATTTATCACAAAAAAAATTAAAAATCTTGTATTCATTCAAAAAAAAATATTTACACCTAAATTTAGATTTATGTATTTGAAGTGCATATGACATTTCCATCCATTTGGATTACCCAATTTGAACATAAAACAAGTAATGCTTCTACTCAAAATCATGGCATAGTTTATTTGACTATTTGATCTATTTCATTTTACTTAGATAATCATATTTTCAAAATGCATTTAATCAAATTGCTTAGAATCAGCATAAATCTGTTCACTGTAAATCAAATTTATTTAGTTAAAAAGTATGAACATGGTTCAAATACAGCTAGCTGTGGAACAAGCGATATTCAATTGCAATAATCAATGCAATATTGCGAGTTAAACTAATTGGAGTTTCTGATTAGTAATATGTAGGGCTGTGCGATATTGAAGAAAAATGCGATAACTCATTAAATAATGCAATACGATAATGCTTAAAGTGCCACATGCTCAGATGAAGCAGTTTTACTCAGCTGTTGCTGAGTCAGTTCTGTGAACTTCTATAACTATCTTGTGTCATATATAATGGGAGAAAGTTGTAGAAAGTCAACCATCACTGCAGCCCTCCACCAGTCGGGGCTTTATGGCAGAGTGGCCCGACGGAAGCCTCTCCTCAGTGCAAGACACATGAAAGCCCGCATGGAGTTTGCTAAAAAACACCTGAAGGACTCCAAGATGGTGAGAAATAAGATTCTCTGGTCTGATGAGACCAAGATAGAACTTTTTGGCCTTAATTCTAAGCGGTATGTGTGGAGAAAACCAGGCACCTGTCCAATACAGTCCCAACAGTGAAGCATGTTGGTGGCAGCATCATGCTGTGGGGGTGTTTTTCAGCTGCAGGGACAGGACGACTGGTTGCAATCGAGGGAAAGATGAATGCGGCCAAGTACAGGGATATCCTGGATGAAAACCTTCTCCAGAGTGCTCAGGACCTCAGACTGGGCCGAAGGTTTACCTTCCAACAAGAGAATGACCCTAAGCACACAGCTAAAATAATGAAGGAGTGGCTTCACAACAACTCTGTTACTGTTCTTGAATGGCCCAGCCAGAGCCCTGTCTTAAACCCAATTGAGCATCTCTGGAGAGACCTAAAAATGGCTGTCCACCAACGTTTACCATCCAACCTGACAGAACTGGAGAGGATGTGCAAGGAGGAATGGCAGAGGATCCCCAAATCCAGGTGTGAAAAACTTGTTGCATCTTTCCCAAAAAGACTCATGGCTGTATTAGATCAAAAGGGTGCTTCTACTAAATACTGAGCAAATACTTAGGACACTTAGGACCATGTGATATTTCAGTTTTTCTTTTTTAATAAATCTGCAAAAATGTCAACATTTTCTGTCATTTCTGTCAATATGGGGTGCTGTGGATATTCGATATGCGATACGATAATGGTTAAAGTGCCACATGCTCAGATGAATCAGTTTTACTCAGCTGTTGCTGAGTCAGTTCTGTGAACTTCTATAACTATCTTGTGTCATATATATATGGTTATTTGTATGCATGTATGTACCAAGAGTTCCTGTAAAACCACAACAAATTCCTTGTTTGCGCACACTTAAGTGGTGAATAAAGCTCATTCTGATTCTGATTCTAATAAGAAAGCACCCCTACAACAACTTCTGAAAGTGAACGGTAGTGTTTTACTCTAGCATTACATAATGTCATTTTAACATGAGTTTAGGAACTGAATAATAAAAAGGAAAAATAAAACACTGCTTAGTATTTCCTCTTTGAATTCAATATGCACTGATTCTTATTTAAGCTACAAAAGTTATTTAGGTAAGAGCAGTAAGTGAGTTTCTCTTTGTCTTTTGTTCATGGCCCCAAATATTGCAAGCCGTAGCGATATGCATATTGCGATATGTACATTTGCAATATTTCGATAATTTCGATATATTGCACAGCCCTAGTAATATGTAAACCTGGTTATTATTTATTTATAACACATTAAGTTTATACTGTTACAAAAAAAAATCTTACCTGTTTCATTTATGTACGACTGACAAATATTCATGACATTAAGTTTATTAGTCTGTTTGATGTGTTAAAACTGTGTCTACAAATATTTTTATGCAATTCAAATGCATAAATCTTAAATTTAGGCCTAAATGGTTATTTTTTGTTTTTATTATTTGTTTGTTTGAGTGTGGCTTCAGAATCATGTACACATCTTTTGGACTATTTTATGATTATATTTTGTCTTTCATCATTTCCCATGAAGTCTGCTATATTTCTCTTTTTGTGTTCCACAGAAGAACGTCAGTCATACCAGTCTGGAAGGACATGAGGGTGAGTAAATGCTGACAGCATTTCCATTTTGGGTGAACTATCTCTTTAAGGCTGGCTAATGGCTGTGGGTGGGGGTTATGATTTGGTGATCTGAACCATCAGATTAAATCAGACCAGAAAAGAGGTCTGGTAGACGTAGCATTCATGCTTCCACTTCTGACACACTGGCATTGTAATGCTTACAGGGTTTAATCGGTTTGTGATGTGTGTTTGAAAAAGTTGTTTGATCTACATTATTCTTGTGTGAGTAAGTGTGTGTTAGAGAACGAAAGAGCCTGATTCTGAGTGTAATAGTGCAAATAAGTGGAGGAAAAGGCTCTGCACAGTGTTTCCTGTGAATCAGGAAGCAGGAAGTGTGTGGAAGAGGAAGATTGTGCTTTGGGTCACAGTGAACAATGCGAGTAAGAGCTTAAAGGAAAGAGGCCTGCGTCAGTGTGAGAGCAGGGCGGGAGTGAGAGCTGAAGAGAACGAGAGAAGGCAAAATGATCTCTCATGGCTTTACTGTTCAGTGTGATCATGCCACAGATACTGCTCATTTAACATGTTCATTTACTGTTAATTATAAAAGCAACATGTTTTTTTTTTTTTCAGAGAATGCCACTTTATTGTCTTCTGCCATTAATTTGATTGATTAATCAGTGTATCACAAACGAAATATAATTATTTATTCCAAAAGAGGAAGAAGGGCAGGGCAAGACATAGAGTAAATATTATTGTTACGGACAATCAACTTCTCATTTCCATAATCCTGTGTGAAAATCTGTTTTTATTTGTGCTTTGACTGAGACATTCTATCTATCTATCTATCTATCTATCTATCTGTTTCTATCTATCT